TGAATTAATCCATTTTAGGACATTTTCTCCTATAAGGAAACTGGTGTGTTCAAAGCTGCTTACTGTTTTCACAGCACTTGCTGTCTCATGAAAAAAAATATGCTTTGATGTCATAGGTTAAGACTCTTTCTGGGTTTTTCCTTTGTTATTCCCACAACATAATGATAGTTTTTGTTGAAAAAAACTGATGGATGAATCTTTTAAAAAAGTATTCTGTGTTACAAGGAAGTAGAAGCAAGTATAATGAAATAGCAGTACATTTGTAAATACATTTTAAACAAATAGGGAATTGTTTTAGTGTGTATATGTGTGTATATAAGAAGGGGAATTATACTTATTTATCTTAAAAATATCAGGATGTTGTAATAACAAAAAGAGCCTCAAACCATGGCATCAAAGCATTTAATAATAAATAAAAATCTTAGAGGAATTTGTATAAAACCAATGTATGACAGTTGCACACATACAGTTTCTTGTCCTGAACACACACACACAACACACACACACACACGCAACACACACACACACACAGAAACAGCCACTACTTGCAACTGTACTTTGTAAAATATGCCTGTGCGGAATTACCTATAGGCATATTGCATTCTAATTCCTACATTGAAGAGCTTTCTGTATAGAACTTTGTGATAAGTGAAGCAGACTTGAGTTGAAAACAAAACTTGTCTGGCTAGATTGCAAACCAGCTAATTGTATCTTGCTGGCATTCTTAGCATAGGAGAAAGGGTGTTGAAAGAACAGAATGGAGATCCACTATGGATTTGATGGGTGAAATGAAAGAAGAGGTAATGCATTGTGGTGTAGTGGTTAAGAGCGGTAGACTTGTAATCTGGTGAACCGGGTTCGCGTCTCCGCTCCTCCACATGCAGCTGCTGGGTGACCTTGGGCCAGTCACACTTCTTTGAAGTCTCTGAGCCCCACTCACCTCACAGAGTGTTCGTTGTGGGAGAGGAAGGGAAAGGAGAATGTTAGCCGCTTTGAGACTCCTTCGGGTAGTGATAAAGCGGGATATCAAATCCAAACTCCTCCTCTTCTTCTACTTCCACATATTTGTTCTTAAGGAAAGCATTTCGCTGTGTAAAGGCTTTTACGGGATAGTGAATGGAAGAGGAAGCTTCAGGAGAAATAATGAGGAAAGGGGACTGTGAGAACAGGTTGATCGTTGGACTCTTAGCTTTATATGCTATTTATTTCTATTTTTATCCCATTCTTCCTCCAAAGTGGTTGATCTTTGGACTTAACTTACATGCTATTTATTTGTATTTTTATCTCATCCTTCCTCCAAAGAGCTCAGGACAGCATGCATGGCTCTCTCACATTAACTTTGTGAGGTAGGTTTGGCTGAGAGATAGTGTCTGGTCCACAGTCACTCAGTGAGCTTCATGGCTGAATTGCCCTGATTCTAGTCTGACTCTCAGGACACTTGCAAATCTTCAAATTGCAGTCTCTCACTAAGAGCCATTATACAGCAATCAACCCAGGTTTACCACCAAGCATGCACAAGTGTTTTCAGACACCTGTTGTGTTGCAGTCTTACTTCACATTTTGCAGTGAGAACATTTTTAATGTGTAAGGTGTATATCTACAATATGTACTATGTTGAAAGGTCCTACGAATCGCTCCAGGTAAATGATTATCATGGTTGTCTGGCTGCTGTTACTGCTGCTTCTGCTTCTTGTTGTTAGGTAGATCACTGGCTAATGGTCTAAGTTTGGTGGTTGATGTTTCCTTAATGTGAGCTCATGAATAATTAGGAAGTACTGTAGCTGGGAGATTTCCATTGAGAGTTAGTCAGAGCTTTGAAAAAATGGCACCTACATTTATAGAAAGGGCTGATATAAGTTAGGGGTATGTGCACTTGTATGTGGGTAGGTCACATCCACAATATGCATTTAAAGTACATTGCTTCCCCCAAAGAATCTGGAGAGCTGTAGGTTGTTACGGGTGCTGGGAATTGTAGTACTCTGTGGGGCAAACGGCAGCCCTCAGGATTCTTTGGAGTAAGTCATGTGCTTTAAAATGTATGGAGTTAAAGTGATTAGAGAGCAAGTGAGAGATGGAGGAAAGACTGGAAGTGTCTTCAGGTGCTGAGTGCCTCCCTGTCATAATGACAAAGTGATGCCCCACTTTGAAACCCTGATTGTCTGGACTTCTAAACACAATGCAGGGCTTTCAAACAGCCCATTGTAAACATTCCCGTGCTCTTGTGGGAACTCTGGAGATATGTACAAAGGGCATTCAAATAGCTTCAGACTTCATCATGAAGGCTGTTTGAAAGGCTCCACTGCACTTTGAAGTCCTGAAAACTGGGGTTTCAAATCACAGCGCTGGGAGGGACATTCCGTTTCTATTGAAAGGAAACTGCTTCACCCTACTTGAGCAAGGCACATTCCTACTGCTCTTCAGCTGGTGGGTGGGTGGGGGAACACCTTGCTCCAGCAAAGGAATAATTGGGAGATCACTTTAAGCTCCCACTTGTTTCTTTGAAACCACACCTACTCATTTACACGTAATGTCATACATGTCAGGTACAGGGCAGATAGGTGTGGCTTCCTGAAAATGGCCTGAAGTAACAGACCTACTCCCTAGCAGGTGTGCATGCCACTTGTTTCTTTGTATGTTCCACCTGTATATTTGCATATCTCCAGTTCTGTCTCCTTTCAGTGAAAGCACTGCTCCCCTGAAACTTCTCACTGCTCTCAATCCCATTGTCTTTTTCATTCTTCGAGGCCAACATGGCAACAGTTTGTTTCAGAGTGTGCACATGCATGCTTGTATAAATACATTTTCCATAAAGGCTATTGTTCGTAATATTCTTAATGTAAAACTTACTTTTTTGTAATCAAACCATGCTATTGTTTTCATCATTGAGATGACTTCAGGATTCTGGGGCAGGTTGTATTTTAAGGCATTGCACATAGCCTTTGAATATTTTATCATGTTGGAAAACTGGTAGAAGTTGATGTAAAGTTTTGCCAGTGGTACTACCAAAAGGTTTTCAAAGATGACAGTGCAAAAAGGTTTGGTCAATGGTGCAATCTTCCACATTTTTACTCTTGACGTCAATCTCATTGTGTTTATTGAGGCTTACTTCTAGATACTGCAACCTTAGCATGTGTTTATAAATACCTGGAAATATACATTTTACAGTATAGCATTCTTGCTTCTGGTTGGCTGTAGTATAAAAAGATTGCTGGACTAGATGGACTGTGGTCTGAAGATTGTTCTTATGCTCTTCATTTGTGCAGTTGTCTAAAACCCAGTCCCATGATCTGTTCCAGATGCTGAACATTTGATAAAGCAACTCCTTCCTTCATTTCAGTGGAAGGCATTGAACTGCATGTTGCATAGGCTTGTTCAGTGGAAATGGGAGCACCAGAAAGTTAGGAACGCCAAATAAATAGACTCTCTGGTTTTTACCTTGAAACTGAACCCACAAGGAATCAGTCTCACATCAGTGATTGATCATCTGGTGAGAGGAGCACTTGCAAGCAGGGAGAAATTAATTTGGATCCTTTGGGAGTTCTGCCTTCCACTTGGAGTATCTTGATAATAGATGCCTACAGACCATTGGGAATAAACTTCCTAGAGCTTCTGCAACCAAGCAATGCATTACAGCATCTGTAAAATGCTATCTCTCTGCTGTCATTTAAAAAACTAGATTAAAACCCTAGAACTAATGAAGAAATTTGCCACTGTGCCAATCATATGAGGAAAGAGGAGGCACACCATTTGTTCAAGCTTATGTTTGGCTTCCTGACTGCCTTATCTGATTTGTATATTACAATTGTTGACTCAGCTCTCCCTTTTCATACATGTGCAAAGGTTGCTACAGGTTCACCTTCAAGTGTCTCAGGTACCACACGCCACCTGCTAATCTGAAGTATACACAATAATTAGGCGGATGTGTTACCATGGCTTCATTTTAACTTCTATGTGCAATCATATTCACTTTGGACCTGTTTCCCTTACAGTGCATTGTCGTATTGTAGAACATTTTTCTCATTTTGGATATTTTCTTTTCCGGAGCACCAGGCCACATAACAAATGCAAAAGCATGCTTCCGACACTTGGAACCAATTTGTACATTATGAATTGGCCCTGTATGAATAGGCATTCTCACAAATGGCTTGCTCACATGAGTGGTGGAAACATTGAAGAGGGGCTTAAGGAACTTGCAGCAGTAGCAGCTTGTATAACTGAGTTGTAGTCCAGCAAAATCCAGAGGACCACAGATTCCCCATCCGTGTTTTATAAACGAGGGTTTCCAATCCCCAGCATACCTTGCTCATGGAAACCATTGTTGCATCTTTTGTGAGTGAGCTTCTTTGGTACTGCACTGCTCCTGCAAATAAACCATTTATGTGAGCAGATACTCATTCATCAGAACATCCACAGCTTAATAGAGGTCATGGCTCAGGGGTAGAGCACATGGCTTGTTTGCCAAAAGTCCTAGATTCAATCAGTGGCATTTCAGTGCAGGGCTGGGAAAATAGACTTGCCTGAAACCCACTCCTAGTCAACAGAAGATGATTCTGAGCTTGATGGACCAATGTTCTGACTCTTTATAAGGCAACTTCCTGTAGCGAGGAGAACTTTGTTTTTCATTTCTGGACAGAAGAAACTTCCTTGAATGAAAAAAGGGATGTTGGATTTGTAGGCCTGAGCTTTTCGGACTATTGGAGGAAAGGCATCTCAAAGAGCCTCTGCCTGAGTGGCCACCAAGACATGTAATTCTTGGAAGTAGAAGTGGGCTTGTATGACTTTGGCTTTGTTCAGATGTAATAGAATTCCATGGTTCCCTGGGGTGAGGTCCTGCTTATCACAAGCCTTGGGCCCAGGTCCTCCTCCTTCGCACACAAGGGGAGAAAATTAACCCTTTTACTATCTTTCTCAGAACATTTATGCAATTAATGCTATTTGTTTGATTTATTCCATATTGGTGTGTTAAAAAGCTAACATAAATATTATTATTTTAATAACAGATGGTTGACCCTACCTTAGCAGAAATGGGAAAGAATCTTAATGAGGCGATGAAGATGTTGGAAGACAATCAAAGGTACCTACTAATAGCAGCCTTGAAGAACATTCAGGAGTGTTAAAAAGACATCATTGCTGATACATTTTCTGCTCAGTCCAGCAGAGCCTATTGTTGTAGTTGCAATAACAAAATCCCCTTTTGATTTTGTAATGAACAATTAGATTTGTCATTGAAGGACAGCAGTCGTGCTCCCCTGACCATATCCCGTGATTTGGGGAAGCAGCAAGATAGACATTGCATTCCTAACACTTCACATAACCTGGAAGCAGTTGCACAGGATGGGGTGATTTTCATTGGGACCACAGCATGGGTACAAAGGGTTAAAATAAAAAAGTCTACATCCCTGTGCATCATAGTTCTGATCCACCCTCTCCACACCTGCTACATACTGTTTATAAAAGAGGCAGGCAGATACCAAGTTTTTATCATCTCATGTAGTTTGGCCCTGCATGAGAACCACTGAGAACTCACACAGCCTCACTTGCTCATCTCTGGTCCAGGTGTTCAGTCTTCGTGGTGCACTAGAGTATGAAAGAACTCTGGCAGCTGGCCAAGACAAAAATCCCATTGCATTTATGGTGGGTTAGGTTGCTTTGCAAATATGCCTAGTCTAGAATTTCCCTTTAAGCTTACATTTAACTGTGCTGAAGACAACAGGTGTTTCATATCCTTTTGCAGGTTCCCGACCCCAACCCTAGGTTTTATAGTTAGGAGAAAATGATTCTTGTATTGCATAGGATGTGAGAAATAATTAAACTGGCTTCTGTTGTAGCAGCTAGATTGGAAGCACTCAAGAAAATACAAGTGAACTATCTGTAGGTCATAAACCTTAAGCTTTAATTTTTTAAAAAAAAAATATGACATCACAAATTGTCAATAGGTAGTGTTGTATTTCCTGTTTTGAAGTTCATTTTATATGGCAAATTGTCTGCTGACAAATATTTTAAACAATATTTTATCATTTTTAATACCTGTTTTAGTCATTTCTTTCAGTCGGCGTTTAACCTTTAACATCCCGTTAGAACAGATCAGGTTCAGCACTTTAGAAATTACTGAACTACTAAAAAAATGAATGGCTTTTCCTTTGAAATCAAGTTGTAGTGGAAATTTTGTGTGGCTTAACCAAGGGCAGGATTTAAACATCTCACTGGTATGTTCAAACTAGGAAAGTGGAGGAAGAAAACGAAAAAAAGTATACAAGGAAAGATATTCCTGGACCACTTCAAGGCAGGTGAGTAACAGGATTGTGAATCATGATTTTATAGTGTATCCTTTATCTTCCCATGCTATGCATACAGAAGGTCTCAGGTTCCGTTCCTGGCATTTTCAGATCTCAGGCACTAGGGCTGGGGGAGAAACCTTGCTTGGAAGGTCAGGGTAGACAATATTTCACCAAATGGACCATTGGTATGTATAAGGCAGCCACATTTATCTAGCCTACAAGCTGCCAAGAATACACTTAACCAGGGTGTTCTCATTCAGTAGATTGTATTGGCAGAGTGGCATAAGCAAGGAGACTAGTCCCCTGTCAGCAGCAGCAAAACAGACAGTCTCTTATTTGGTACTTTTGGCACACTGTTCAAATAAGTCGTTTCATTTACTCACTCAACTAACCTGCCAATGCATTGCACAAATAAAACGACTTCAGTGGATTGTGCTCCTTGTGGTTTTTTTAACAGTGAGTCAGGGGTAGAGGAAAATAACCATTGATGATTTCTTTTTCCAAGTCCCCGGAATGTATTTACATTGTGTTTCTAGAGAAATCATAATCTACATGATTATTTCAGAGTTCACGGTGCATTTCTAGACAAAATATTAAAAGCCTCTCAACAAATTACCAAAAAAGCTATAGTGATGCATTGGTACATCAAAAGGGCCTGATTTTTGCATTCTTTTTCTCCCCTTAGTGGACAAGACATGGTGAGCATTCTCCAGTTAGTTCAGAACCTTATGCATGGAGATGAGGAGGAGGAATCGTTGCAGTCTTACCGGTAAACAATTGTACATGTTGGTTTGGACCCAAAGGTGTTCTGCTTGCAAGAGCGGCTGTCTTAGAGTGTTGTGTTGTGTTGTACTGTTGTACTGTTTTATTGTTGTTAGCCGCCCTGAGCCCGGCTTCAGCTGGGGAGGGTGGGATATAAATAAAAATTTATTATTATTATTATTATTATTTATTATTACACCTGCTGCTAGAGTGTTGCATGAGAAAAACTGAAAGCACATGCAGTGATGTTGCTCCACCTGCTACATCATACGTATGACCTCTTGGAACAAGCAGCTGCATAAGAGCAGCTTACCTGTTATAGCTCTTACCTGAGCTTTCAGTCAATGTTTGTGGAATGATGCTAGGGGCCATTTTACTTTCCACTCATAGTTATTGGGATTCATAATAATAACAAAGTTTTCCTTTATTATTAAATTCATAACTTATTTAAACCTATTTGTATCGGAACACAAGAGGGCACACTTAATTAAAGGCTTTGTATATTCCTGATACAATAGATACTCAGATAAAGCAAACTAGATTCACCTTTTTTCAGACTGCTCTCTCTTAAAGAGATACGTGCTTTGCTTCATTACATTATTAATGGGAAATTACATGCAGCATGAAATAATTTCTGCTTTGGTGGCCCCATTTCTTCAGATTGCCTGTATCTTTCAGAACACTGAATTGATGGCAATATGAACAATCTGAATCTTTCGGGAAAGAGATTCTAAGTGGACTGCAAGCCTAAATTTCTGTTGGAAATAGCTCTTTCTGAGGAAATGGCTGCAGCTTAGTGATAGACCATAAGCTTTACATGCAAAAGTTCCCAGGTTCTACCCCTGGTATCTCCAAGTAGGTTTGGAGAATATTTCTGTCCGAAACCCAGCAGTAGCTCATTATGATGGAGACGTAGAGGCACTGGACGGCCACTGCTGCTAATGTGGAGCTCCCCTGTTCTCACTGCTGCTGACTTTCCTGTCCCAAAGAGGGCACCACTGCTGCCCCTGGGAGCATGTCCCTGCCTCCTCCACCACAACCACCTGCCCATGAGCCACAGCTGCTGAACCCTGGAGAGCTGTTGCTGGTCAGTTCAGGCAGCTTCTTACATCCTGCCTTTCCAATAAAACGTTCAAGGCATCTTGCAGTGCAGCATTAGCATACAATAAAAGATTAACCAATAACATTAAAAAAACCCCACAGGGACAGCAAGTAAGATAGCTTAAAATCAAATACCTGTCTAAAAAGAAAGCTCTTCACAGAGCAGCAGAGGAACATGCGAGGGGAGCTGTTTTATTGGCTTTAAATACTGTATCAGTTTAAAATTTTTTGTCATACATCTCTTTGGGATATTCACAATATCAATATTTGAAATACAAATACGGCTTAAACCCGAGTTCCAGGGAAATCAACGCATGACCTATTTTCAGGAGGTTTTCAGAAGGATTTGCTGAGCAAAAATGAGACGCATGATTTCTGCAGCATTGGTGGTCGTTCTAATGTGTTTCTGGCTTGCAGGCTTCAGAACGTTGGAGAACAGGGTCACATGGCTCTTTTAGGACACAGCCTGGCAGCTTACATCTCTGTGTTGGACAGAGAGAGGCTCAGAAAGCTCACATCCAGGATCCTTTCTGACACTACACTGTGGCTGTGCAGACTTTTCAGGTATCCTGCATTATGAATGACTTGATTATAAACATTACAGTAAAAAAAACCCAAAAACAAAAGTTCTGAGTTATAATCCCAAATATATGAAAATGATACAGTCAGTTGGAGTGGCAGTTTTGAAGGTATGAGGCAGCCAGGGTATTCATCGACTGCGCAAACCTGACTTCTCCGGTGTGAAACTGCAGCCGTTCAGAGGTAGCTGGACTCCTCCTCCCATCATCAGCCACGGCTAGCGTGGTCAGGAATGATAGGGGTTTCAGTCCAAAAACATGAGGAGGACCATGGATTCCTGACCCCCTGCTTACTTGAATCTTATTCTGGACAAATAAGTGAACCTTTGTATGCAACTGTTCTGTTCATTTTAAGCCAAAGGACAAGAACTCCCCCCAAGCATTCAGAGTAGAAAGTGTCTTCCATTTCTGCATAATTGTAATGTTTGGAAGGTGAACTGGCGCCTTTTCTGTAAGCTCATATTTACGTAATAATTTCTCTGAACAGGTTTGAAAATGGGTCAGCGTATTATCATGAAGATGACCGTGAGGGCCTTTTAAAAGTCTGCAGACTCGTGATTCACTCGCGCTACGAAGACTATACAACGGAAGGCTTTAACGTGCTGTATAACAAGCAGCCTGTTATATACATTAGCTCTGCAGCCAGAGCAGGCTTGGGACAAGCTCTTTGCAATCAGGTAAAATGGAACTTTTGGAGTCTTATCAGTAAGTGACACTTTCTTTATCGTGTTGTCCCCTTAGCTGGTTTCATTACGCATCTATACTTTCTGTTGAAATATCCTTGCATCTGTGAAATAAACTTGTGTCCCTTACTCACATTCAGATGGTATCTTTTATTCTGATGTCCTGTTGTTGCAGAATGTTATAGCTGAGGGAACTCCGAAGGTTATTTGGCCTGCCTGCCTACATTCACATAGAATGTTCTGTATTCCACTTAGTATGACCGCTTCAGTGGGATTTAACTCACCTGACTGGATGCAGAATTGCAGCCTATATCTTATCCAAGTTAAGGTGCTCGCCATTGTACCTACTGATGGGAGCCAGTGTAGTGTGATGAGACCCCTGGTTGACTCTGAATCCAGTGTGGATGCCCCCCCCCCGCCCTGCCCCCAATTCCTTCAGGCAGGCTGTTGTTTCGTTTTTAATTAAGGAACTTGGCATGTGTTCATCAGTTTAAACTTTTTATGTTGTTTCTTCAAATAAAAATGCCTAGAGGCTGCTTGTGGGGAGTGTGGGATGGCTTCATAGCTGTCAGAAGGAAGAGCCAATCAGCACTCAGTATAGGCTGCTTATGCTGGAAATAGGAAAAACTGATGGCTTCTGAGCTCAATTCAGTTTGTAAAATTAGACATCTGGCCCAAAAGAGCTGTGCAGTCCACTGGGGGCTCACTGCTCAAGATATAAATTAAAAAAAATTAAAAATTGTCTAGTTCAGGGGTCTGCAACCCGCGGCTCCGGAGCCGCATGTGGCTCTTTTACACCTTTGCCGCGGCTCCGGGGCGGATACTAGCGAGGGGAGGAGGCGCATTGTGCGCCCCGACACTCCCCACTGTGGCGGGCGCTGTACTGGCTGTGACGTCGCATGGGGGCGGTGCGTGCATTAGTCACGCACCGTCCCGACGTCACCTTCCCGCCCGCCCGCCCGCTACATTGTAAGGGGCATGTACGCTGGTCACTGTTTTGAAGGGGAGTGAAGAACACACAAACAAAAAAAGGTAACTGGTTAATTTAACGTTTATTTCTATGAGGAGGAGTAATTCTGAGGGGTCAAACAAAGAAATAATTTTTAAAAAGTGACAAAAAAGTTATTTTTATAATGATGAGTTTTGCGGCTCCCAGTTTTTTTTTCTTTGGAAACGGGTCCAAGTGGCTCTTTTTGTCTTAAAGGTTGCAGACCCCTGGTCTAGTGTATCTGAAACAGTGTATCTGAAAAAGTGTGCATGCACACAAAAGCTTATACCCAGAACAAACTTAGTTGGTCTCTAAGGTGCGACTGGACAATTTTTTATTTATTTTATTTATTTTGACTGCATAAGACCAACACGGCTACCTACCTGCTCAAGATACATATACATAGAACTTAATGACCTCCCTGCTGTGACACACTTTACCTGTGCCACGTGGTCCTTCTCTCAGATTTCCACATATGAACCAAGGTTGGGTCCGTTGCATTTCAGTTCTTTTTGAACCTCAAAGTTATGGTTAACGTCAGTGGCAGTTTTCTTTTCCAAATGATAGAGTAGCTCTGTGAGATTGAGGCCTTTCAAGTTGCAAGCTAAACCTGTGTTTTCTTTATTCTGCCATAGCATACCTCCTCACTTAAATTATACACACATTATACTTCATCAGTTTAGATTTCTCAACTTTACTTTTGTTTACATGTTGAGAAGCATAATAGTGCTTTGACCCCTATCAGAAAGGTTGCCAGCTGGTTATTCCACTAAAAGGGCATCACAACGGATAAGGCCCATGGCTAAATTGCCATCTCCTTCCCCACCCACCCCCGCAACAGTATCTCTGGCCATACCTACTGGGAAAGGTGGTCCGGAAAGTATTTAGACCCCCAGCCATTTAGGGCTTTATAAATTAGTGACCTTAACCTGTGTTTAGAAAGAGTGCAGATCATGGTGAATGGTTGCAACATGGCTCTGAATAAGCAGATCTGAATAAGCCCATCTTAGCCTTCTTCAAAAACATGCACAAACATGGAAACCTGAAACGCTCGGATCACATTAGGGATATAACTTCTGTCTCTTCCCTCTGCAGCTTGGTTTGCCTCTTTCCTGTATGTGCCGGGTGCCTTGTAACACCATGTTTGGATCTCAGCATCAGATGGTAAGTTTGAGCAGAAGCAGCAGCACACGGCCTTGTTCCATTTGTGTACATAAATAATTGTTCCCTCCTTTGCTTGGTGGCAGGATGTTGCTTTACTGGACAAATTGATTAAGGAGGACATTGACTCTGGAAAGCTACCAATATTGCTAGTGGCCAATGCTGGTAGGTATCTTTAGCAGATGAAATTTGACTACTACTTCCCCGCCCCCCCCCCCGCCCCATGCACTTTCTCGCCTACTCCCAATAGAACCTCAAATTTCTAATTTATAGATAGAATGCTGTTAACTGGCTGCTTTATATCTGAGTTGTCAGGCTTGGTCCTAATTTTCACAGAGGTAGCAAGCCAGTGTCTGGGCTGTTCCACTTCACATTTGCAGGTGGGGGCTCCCATGATGGAATGCCCCTCCACACTCACTAACTAAATAACCTGACTATGAAGTCTAGAAGCCTCTATTCTTTTAAATGAGAGCTAGGATTGTGCCCACAGCAGAGAGGGAGGGAGAGTAGGGGAACCTATGCTTCTCTGAGTTAAACAGGCCTAGGCACCGGAGTGCTAACCAGTGCCCAGATGACAACACCAGAGTATTCCAAAGGGAGAGAAGCTCCCACTCTGGTCCCTCTCATTGCAACATTAATTAGATTCTGGGTGGGGCCTGCATGCAGCAGCGCAGCTGAGCCATGCACCAAGTCTCAGTAGGGCTGGTTGACCGCACCCCTGACTAATCCTTTCTCCCCATCCCCATATGCAAGGTACAAAAAAGATGCCTGCTGAAGGTGGGGGATCTTGGTTTCCCAAAATTTAGGGCTCAGATGGTCACTGAGATGCTTGGACAGTTGAAGTGCTCCATGCAAACATTCTTATCAAAATAAAGCCCCCATTTCTGGGCACTGTACTGTTAAAAAAACCCACAAGGCTACTGGAGTGTAGCTTGAGGCAGGACAAGCGCATCAGCTGGCTGGAAAGGGAAGCCATGCTCTCACGTCTCCACCATGTGTTGACTGGGAGGCAAATATTCCTTAACACAGGAAGCCTGCCCTGGGGCAGTTGTTGCTAAAGGAGTATTGGAAAAAGAAAAGACTGAACGCTGCACTACTTACTGTAAAACTTTACTTTGTTGAAATGGAATTCCAACTAATTCTGAGCCTAACAAAGTGCCATGTTAAGTGGCTGCGGCCGTTAGTGACATCTTTTTTGCATTTGGATTGTTCTTCTTCCCTTTCGATGCAGGTACACCAGGAGCAGGGCACACAGACAAACTTGGGCGACTGAAAGAACTCTGTGAGCAGCACGGCATGTGGCTACATGTCGAAGGGTACAGTGCCATTTTAATGTAATGTTAAGTTGACTAACTGTGCATGAGATCCCCATGAAGGTAAATAACACGTGCACAAATGGCATGGCCAGGTTTGTGCATGGTTTTGCATCTTACTTCTTCATTAGTCACTCCCCATCCTGAAATACAATCCCCTTTTAAAAATCTCCTAAACTAAAAACAAGTGAAGTGACTGTAAAAAAGGAGAAGGCAATAGATGCCATTGATTAAAAAATTGGGGAGATTTTGATGAACAGGTTTTCACAGAGCTATTTCAGGGAGAGTTTTAAAGGACAGCACAGTGCTGTACAAGAGCTACCTCTGTTGAGAAGAAGGGTTTTACTTATATTGCCAATGTGCAATGCCATCCCTAAGAAAAGGAGTATGCCAGACTGCAGCCAACTGAGCATGCTTTGTCGCCCCCCCACGGCCCATGGTTCATAAAGACATTCCAAAAAGCCTATTTCGTTGCTGTGTATTTGTGGAAAACAGAGACACAGGAAACTGCTTTGTGCTAAGCCAGATGCTTCTTCTGCGACAGGTTTACAAACTGGAATGAAGTTACAAATGAAGTAGGCAGACAGAAACATTAAAATCTAGCCCTTAACCTGGGGTAGGCCACCTAAGGCCCATGGGCCACAAACGGCCCACGGGGGTCGTTATCCGGCCCACGAGCCACCCCCGAACCGAGCTGCCCACTCGGTGAGTCCCCACGCGCTGTGCTAAATTGGTGCAGCGCAGCACGGGGACTTGCTTCTGTGGCGATGAAAATTGTGTTTGTGCATGCGCAGATGCCAAAAATTGCATCTGCGCAGACACCGAAAATCATGTCAACGCAGACGCCAGAAATCACGGGGGGGGGGCGCTCATGTGCATGCGCAGTCCAGCCCACTGAGGGATTTCTGCTGGAGTGAACCGGCCCAGGCAAGGTAAACCTTGCCGACCCCTGCCTTATCCACTAACTGGATTAAAACAAAGTGTCTCTTTCAGATCCAGAATCTTGGAATAAATTTTACAGTATTTGCATTAAATATACACATACAGCTTCCCTAAGTACAGAATCATAAAATATTTAAAATGAAACTAAAGCGAAATGTTAGCATTTAGAGAAGGGACGGAATATCCAGTGTAATCTAAAACTGAGTTTTCTTGTTTCTTTCAGGGTGAATTTGGCTACTTTGGCTTTGGGTTATGTCTCGTCATCTGTACTGGTATGTTTCTGCTTTCTTCAGTGTGGGTTTAGGGCTGGTTTGGGGACTGAATTTATTCTGTCTCTTTTCAGACCATTGATCATGATATCCTCCTGAACCGACTGTTCAAGATGGGTTTTAGAGGTGCAGTGGTTTCATTATACCTACAGTCAAGTCCAGATAGTAACGTTAGGGGAGTGCTTTTTTACTCCCTTGAACTTGTGCTATGGGGTCCTGCAGGGCCCTCTTTTTGGTCCCCAGTGTTATTTAACATCAACACGAGGCCATTGACAGCAGTCATTTCAAGTTTTGGTTCAGGTGTTGTCAGCGTATTGACAGCAATATACTGATGACAGGCAGCTCCATTTCTCCATTGGTAACTTCAGCTCTGAGCTACTTCAAAGTGAGGCTGCCTTGGCCTGGAAGCCCCAGCTGCTAAACCACTGGTGAAGAGAGATAACCAACAGCATGCAACACCTCTGTTGAAACATCTGCAGTAGCTGCCCATATGCTCCAGGTTCAGGACTTTGTATTGTATTAAAATACAAAGCCCTGAAGAATTTGGATTCAAAATACCTTAAAGACTGCCTTCCCCCTTATATCCCAACTTGATCACTGAGATCATCTGGAGGATGTCCTCTGTGTTTCTGAGGCCCAGCTGTCTTCAGCTAGAAGTCAGGCATTTAGTGTTGCCAAATTCCACAAAAGTGGACTGCTCTTCCAGCAAAGATCCAGGAGGCATCCTTACTGCTAATTTTCAGGTGTCTCCTAAATACTTTTTTATGCCAACAGGCCTCTGAATTTGTTTAATCCCCACCCCAAGTTGAGCCAGTCATTTTCATTATTGTTTACTTTTTCTTAGGCTGGTCTCTCATTTTTAGAAGTTTGGCTCATGGGTTCCATTGTTTTGAGTTGCACTCAAATAATGTAACTGCCTTCCTTTCTGCAGGCCGCAACCAAATGTGACAGCATGACCCTGACTCTGGGGCCCTGGCTAGGTCTCCCAGCAGTGCCTGCAGTGACTCTCTACAGACATGAGGATCCTTCTTTGGTAAGCTTATTTCTTTGTATATATGCTCACTGCTTGATCCAAACTCCAAAAGGTTGGCAACCCCTACATCCACCCTGAATTTTTCACATACGATGGAATAACAAATCCAGCAAAAAGTAATGAATGCAAATATGTTGTTGTTTTGTTCACAGTCCTTGGTTGCAGGCTTGACCTCTAGCCAGGCAGTTGAGAAGCTGCGTGCTCTGCCTCTGTGGCTCTCCTTGCAGTACCTTGGACACGATGGGATTGTGGAAAGAATAAAACATTCATCTCAGTTGGTAAGAAGTTTGGCATTGCTTTGGCTCTTGTGCATCTCCATGGATGAGCTGGCATTTCACGTTTTACGTACATAGTGGTGTTGCTGCATTCTCAGTCTCCAGCCAAAGAAGAGATGAGTTATTTGTGTGTGTCATATGCGTGCGTGAGATGTAACACAGGATACCTGTAAATGGGTCACAGAAAGTGTTTTTTATTTTATTTTATTATCCATCAAAACAGCCATGTAGGGCTGATTTTGGCCAGAGAAACAATGTTAAGAGAGGAAATTTTAAGTTTTCCTGCACACACCTTTGTCCTGATCTGAATTCCTCCAAGTAGCTCTTGGCCTTCTTTGGGGGCAGGGCAGGGGGAAGAAAATACAGCTGAGTGTTTTTTGTTTAAAGAAAAATCCCCAGTGGAGATAACAGAGACTTGGGGGGGGGAGTAGGGCTTTAGATTGGGGAAATGATGCAAACAAAGACATTTAAAGACCCATCTTCATATGCTGCTGCTCCATTCAAAACTAGGGTCTTTGACAGCTGCTTTGAAGTAAGTTTGTTCAAGCACAGAAATCTAATCATAGGTCCGTCACATAATTTACCTGAGTCTTGTAATATAATGATTCACTATTTGAAGGAGGCAGCTGACCAAACATTTATGGTCTACAGCTTCTCCATGTTCCCAAGGAGAAACCGAGGTGGTGGAGCGGAGCAGGGCTTGATTGGCAAACTGCAAATGGTCGCTTATATATGAGCTTCCAGTAGAGGAAGTCTTTTACAGGCTTCGTATAATTGTTTGCCAACCCTCTGGTGGTGAGAGCGTGAAACAGTTGACACATCTTGTCACCAGTTCGGAAAGACGTTGGCCACTGCCTTCCTGTGCTTGGGGCCTTGGCCTTTTGATCATGGGCCTGCATGCTGCAGTGAGTCACCGCTGTGCGTTTTCCCAAGGCACTTCCTGTCATAAAAGGTGTCAGGAAGTAGGGCTGACATCAGCAGGATTTTTTCCTTTTAGTTGCTGCTATTTTCTGTATTGTTTTAAACGGCCTCTTAGCTGTTGTATTATGTACAGCACCTTTGAGATGTGGGTGGACCATGATTAATAAATGAACAATCAGGCACTTGTTGAGCCTTGGCAGAGGGGCTGCTGCTCATCACCCCATGCTGCTTGTGCTACAGCCTCACTCCTCCTTGCTTTGCTGTCTGCTCATCTGCCTTCCCCAAATGTGAAAGCAACAGCAAGACCAAAGTGAACATGCAGCAGCAGCAGCCTCCACTTGCCTTGTGGGACAGATTGGGACCAGAAGAGGAAGAGCAAGTGATTGGGCAGGGGTGGCAGTGGGAAGGAGGAGGAGAGGTTAGCTGGGGAGACCCTCTTAAGGCATCTTGTCCCAAAAGCCCCAAGAGTCAACCCTGATGGAAAACCCCAGCTGATGGAGGCGGGGGCGAGTGTTGGCCACATACCTCATTGTTTTTAGCTGCTTGGTGAGTCATTTTCAGTCCCCTGCTGCCTCCCCTCCACATCTCTAAAAGTTGTTTTCTTAAAAAAAGCCTGATCAAGCCTTCCTTGTTTTCCTCCTTTCCTTGGTTTTGTTTTTTTTTTGTTTTTTTTAAAATAATTTTTATTGAGATTTAAGATCACCAACTCACACCCACCAACAAAACATCACATCTTATTACATATATCCTACTTTATGCTCCATAGAGCCTGATCAGGCCTTCCTTGTTTTCCTCCTTTCCTTGGTTTTGGAAGTGGTCTTTTTAAGTATCCATCTGGCAAAGATGACTGGCACCTGCTCTGTATTGTTCTTGCTGCTTGGAGAAAGTGCTTCTGTTATCCCACTGGCATTAGTGTGTGATGTGCACCCTTACCAGTACATTCAGTTATCACTGTTTAAGGGATGCGCTATTCCCACTTATACTCATGACAGTTGCATGTACTTGGGTGCGTACGTGTTGTCCTTTTTAATGAGCACTGGATGAGCATCTTACGTATTTTGTATTGTCATTTGTTTATATATTTTTCTGGTTTCAGTTTGCTTGTTTTTGATTTATTCTGTCAAGTCAACTTGAAACGCCTTCTTTTGTATTAAGTGGCTGAGAAATGTTAATGATGATGATGATCCGTAATACAGTGGTACCTCCGGTTGCGGATGGGATCTGTTCCGGAGCTCCGGTTGGATCATGAGGTTTTCGCTACCGGAGGGGCTTGTGCGCATGCGCGCAGCGCAATAGAGCGCTTCAGCACATGCGCACACAGCGAAACCCAGAAAACTACTTCCAGGTTTGCCGTGTTCGCATCCTGAAGTTTACCTAACCAGAGGGCTACGTAACGCAAGGTACTACAGTACTTAAGGGGTGCCCTCATCAGAGCCCTCAGAAACAACCCTTTGCGTATGCAATAATTGACCAAAAGCCAGTAGAGGTGAACAGTTTGTGTTGCTAAGGAACGCGTCATCCTAGGAAGACTGTGGATATTGCTCTGCTTTTTAATAATTTAATTGATTCTTAGAAAATCTTCATGCTGCAGCTTTCAGGCTTCCCAACAGGGGCCATTTAGGAAGCTTTTATAGGTGGCTGCAAGAGCAGCCTACTTGTCTTTCGACCAGGGGGAAGTGGTGGTGTTGATGACTTGAGGCGCTTTTAAATTAAAGCAGCTAAAGGCAAATTCATGTTGCCGTTTATCATTTTATGCTGCGATTTTTTAAAAAAGTGTGAAATGCTTTAGGATCTTGATTTCAACCTCACAAGGACTCGTTGAGCAAATTTGTTGTTATTCCATTTACAGATGATGGAGGGACCACTAAGACTAGTCTGCATCTTAGATTGATTCTGGCTTGCCACTACAAATTTAAGTCTTGATCGAGCTGTCACACCCATCAAGAATTTAATGAGTTTTGTAATGCTTATGTAGTTGTTGTTTGTTTAATCTCTTTCCTGCTCCCAACTTTCATCTACTCTTTTAGAGTCAACGGCTGTTGGAAAACTTGAAGAATCAGGATTTTATTAAAACCTCAGTAAGTTTTCCTTTTGCACCTTAATTTTTTAAAACAATAGCAATAATATATTAAGCCCATAACCCACCCTATCTTCTTGCCACATTCCTGTTTCAGCTTAGGAAAAGTGGTCTTGTTGCATATATAGTACAGTGACAACAGTGGCAGACCTTGAGGTCTCAGATTTCAGTGGTGCCCTGTGTGACGCCAAAATTTGGCACCCCCTCCCCGCCTCTCACGCTCCATTGCAAATCATAGTTGCAACGTCCCTGCAGCGCCCCTGAGGCTCGACGCCCAGTGCAACTGAACTGGTCACGCTTCCCTAAATCCACCTCTGGTGACAGATTTTAGACAAAATCCAACGCAAACAGGCATTGCCTTCTAATGAATCTGGACGGTTGTGTAAAGAAGTATGTTTGAAACCCTCTGTGATTCTTTGTCTGCATAAAGTGAGCTGTGGTTCTGGGATAATAACACCTGGCATAAGTGGGAGGTATTTTACTACCTTGGGGAATTCAGTGGGTCTTACACTTGGGAAAATGCTTATTGGATTGCAGCCTTGGTTTTTATATTTTGCTTTATCACATTTATAGCCTACCTTTCTTCCATGAAGCTCAAGGGTGGCATATTCTCTTTGTCCCGATTTTATCCTCACAACAACTCTTGAGTCAGGTTAGGCTGCAAGATTGTGACAGGCCCAAGGTTACCCAGGGAGTTCCATGGCTCAGCAGGGACTTGAACCCTGGTCTCGCAGATCCTAGTCCAACCCTGTAAACCACTAAGCCACGCAGGCTGTCTTTCAAATCTGGTATCTTGGTTCTCTTGCAATTTGAATGTTTGCACTAATACCAGTTGTGGTAATGACATGGGCCCTAGAGAATTAATTTTCTGTACACAGCCTTAAGATGCTCTCACAACATTTTGGAACGTGGGTTTTATTTTTATTTTTATTTTAATGTCCCATTTCTAAGGTTGAAGATGAACTTAGCTCTCCTGTGGTGGTATTTAAGTTTTCCCCAGAACTGTCACCTATAGGTGAGTAGAGTTCAGTGAAAATACATTATAATCACAGATAACATTGCTTTTGGTGATTTTTATTATGAACACGTTTGAAATTTGAATTCTTATAAAAGAGATCTGTTTTGACTAAAATAATAGCAAACACAAGTTCTTTCATTTTGTTGGATGGGTGTTAACATCAATATTGAACTTAAGACCCTATTTTTGAAGTTTAGTCATCTGTATTTCCCCCCACAATAGTCTCCTTCCTTGGAAGTTTTTAAGCAGAGGCTGGATGGCCATCTGTCATGGATGCTTTAACTGAGATTCCTGAAATGCAGGGGGGTTGGACTTGATGAGCCTTGGGGTCCCTTCCAACTCGACAATTCGATTAATCTCCCCCTCCCCCCCCACCCCAGCTTTTCTTCAAAGGTGCTGCAGAGGCTGCAGCTTTGAACAGAGGACTGTTTCCCTACCATAAAAGTCTGGTGTTGTTTTTTTTAAAAAAGCAGATTTGTTGTTGAATCCACTTTAATTCTGCAAACCCAAGAGTTGTATCCAACTTAAGTTTAATTCAGAGTACACCCACTGAAATTAATAGACCTAAATATGTGTGCCTTGCTCATTAATTTCAACGAGAAGAACTGCTCTGAGAATAACTACTGTTGGGAACAACCCTACATTTCTGATTTGGATTTGAATCCCTCCCACAAAATACTGACAGTCTGGAGGGCACTTCAAAGGCAGGATACAACTGTAACAAGAGCAGATCCGTGTCATTTAATCACTTGCTAAAAGTTCAAATAAATACAACTGTCTTCCTAGGGCAAATATTTGGCAACTTGTGTCCTGTTGGTGTTTCCTTTCTAATATGCAATATTAAAGTGCGTGGTTGTCTTCTTTTTCTAATGATAAGCTTCAAGCACAGCATTTTTACATGCATTACAGAGAATTTTGGCTCTGTAGCATAAAAAGGAATGAAAATGCAATTTACTGTAGAATCAGTTAAGAGGTAATTCTTAAGATATGGTTTGAAAACACACAGGGTCACTTTTTGCTACAGAAAATAACGGAACACTAGTTGGAGCAGCTAATACGTGCAACCCGTACCCAGTTTTAGTCATATTCAGAGTAGACCTATTAAAATGAATGGGCCATAATTTCAGTGGGCCTACTCTGAGTATGACTTGGCTGGTTACAGCCCATAAATGTCAGAGCTCTCCCCAATCTCATGCATTATTCCTGCGGACAATTCCTGTCACATTTTCGCATTCAAAGCTGCCATAAGTCTCTTGTAAATTTAGATTATGTGTGGTTTCAAATCAGAGTCAGGTCAAGCATTTGTTACGACCAGTGCATCAAAGTGCTGAACATGTTGTGCTTCAAAACCTAAACCTTCCAAACTTATGTTCTTGTCCAAAAAGTGCATTATATAAAATATGAAGATATGAATGTTCACTTCTGTATCAGTTCAAGGGAGAAAAGTAGGATGAATGAATTATTCTTTAGCATCTGCCAAAATGTTTTTAACCCAGGAAATTCAGTTTCCCTTTTTCTTTGAATTCAGATCATATGTTACATTCTGCCCAAACACCTACAATTACTGGCAATGAGAGATACATTTGTGATACTTTTAATCAGTGGGTAAGTATTCTTCCTTATCTCTTCATAGGCATGCCAGACATTGGTCAATCAAACATTTTGAGTATAACACTGACCCCTTTGTGCAGAGGAAAACAATCCCAATACACGCTGCTTATGTCAGGTCTTTTGTCTGACAAGCATTTCATTTGGACGGCTTGAGTGGGTTCTAAAATTTACTGATTCAGTGCAGGAGCAGCTGCTATAGTGTCCCAAAAGTAACATCCAACCCTGTACACTCTATAGCAGGCATAGGCAAACTTGGCCCTCCAGATATTTTGGGACTACAATTCCC